TAATTTGTTCCTTGGCATAAATTATTGAAATAAAGAATTCAGAGCAATTGATATAAGGCAAATACATGGCCATTACATTGCCATTGCTACCTACCTGCAGGTAGAGGTATGATTACTTCACCCCCCCCCCTTGTTTTATTACCTGAACACACAGGCAGATTTAACACCTTTAATCGAAGCAAACGCTGGTAAAAAAAAAACAAACAAACAAACAATAGCACCATAAATGTGACACTTTTTACATTTATTTTTTGGGGCATAAGCAGCACAACTCAAAGCAGCTGAACAGGGAATAGCAAGTCTTGCCTTAGAGATCATATTGAACGACAAGGGTAAACAATTCTTTTTTCAAATGATATAAACCCATTCTCTGAAAATTTATGTGATTGTCAAGGTTTATGCAAGTAGCATTTTGCACTACCTGGACCTTTAAATGTAAGCAGACCTTTTCTTATACGCGCTGGACCTTTTCTTTAAAAAGTTATCGTATTAGCCCCCCCCCCCCCCCCGATCTTTAAACGAGGCGGAACAAATAATATGCAACACCGGTCAATCGGTAGGGGTTGCTTACTCCTCCATGGCACCTGATCTGTTTTCAGGGGTCTATTTTTGCTCTGCCCATGATCTGTTTTGATTAAATGAATTTTTCAGCATGATTACGGTTCAGAGGGTCGTGACATAAATGTACTTAAGTCCAAGACCATGCTAAAGTAGGACTTAAGTACAGTCTTAAAACTTAAGACCATAACTAGAAGCGTGCTAAGATTTGACAATCTTAGCAAAACTTAGGCAGTCGGTAGAGGTGACTTAAGCATGTTTTAACTTCTTTAAACACATATTTAGAACTATTCACAGGTTGACTTTCGACGTCAAAACATTCATCTAATCATAGTATACATTAAAGAAAATAATTTTCTCTATTTAATATTGGTATATATAAGAATTTTATTTTTTCGTCGGGGGAAGGGGGAGGGGGGTGATATTGATCACTGATTCCAATTTTACTCTCTAAATGACATTCATGTAAAGGCAAAATTTTATTTTTGGGATACGATTGAATGTTAGTGGGACCTAGGTTATAAACACTAAGCATTATAAGTTAATTGTACACAGTAATCATGGATTTTTATATTCAAAAATGAGATGATATAGATTTATATAAAAAAAACACAGAAAAATTGTCGTTGAATTAAAGGGTGCTTACTAGAAAACTAATAAAGAGTGTCTGCTTAAATAAGATTAAACGTAGAATGCAACAAGCGTGGATTCAGACAGAGTTCACTAATATAAGAGAGAGAGAGAGAGAGAGAGAGAGAGAGAGAGAGAGATGTAGGAGGTATACGAAAAATTATCTTCTTTTCCATCCTTGATTAGAATTGTAAATAAGTATATCATAAAACGTCTGCAGTCTTTGCCTGCTGATATGGGCTGATTCATCGGAGTAAAAAGAATTTAATATGTCCCTATTGTTTTATTAAGAGTTTCAATTTCAAGTACATAGACGTTCGGTTATCGTGCAATCTCTGCGAAAGTGACAATTTGAAAGCAAGTGAACCTTTGTCAAAACAAAAGAATAACGACAAACATTGCAGTCTCTAGTGATAAACAATATTCATGCATTTACAGTGAACCACTATTTTGTGTCCGTGCAATATTTATTTTCAAATATTCAGACTAATTTTAAACAGAAAATTTTTAATACGAAATCTAATCTAACCTAGCTAAAACCGATAGGTAAGGACGTCAACTTTAATCTATGTGTAATTAAAAACGCAACTAAATCATTTTTTAAAAATACATGTATATATATAAATAAATATGAAAATTATGATGATTCATAAAATATTTTGAACGTAAGTTTGACTTAGCTAAGACCTAGCTAAGTTCATTTTATGTTACGGTTTAAGACAAATTTAAGTAGTACCTAGGCAGGTCTTAAGATTGCGCCTAAAACATACTTATGACCCTACTTAATAGTAAAAAAAAATCCGGAACCTTTCGGAGAGCCGTGGACAAATTTAATTGTAATCTCTTGTTTTATTCTTTACACTTTAATGCTCGTTTTATAAATAGCTTTTTATTTTCTCAATATCGAAACTTGCAGGACGGTCAGGGGTCTTTGAAGCCTTCCATCTTATTCAGAGTTAATAAAGAAACAAAATTATGAATTTCGATACACACCCCATTTCAGGAAACACGACCCCTTATAAGTAAGGACGTTATATACATATATGCATGTGAAGGAAAACTGCTTGTTGGTAAAAGTGTTTAATCTCACCCTTACTCCACCTTTAAGTCCCCCACGAAATATATTTATAATTACATGTACATTTAAATGAAAGTCCAACAAAGTGAAGAGAATTGACCCACTTTATTTTTACATGGTTCTATACGTAGTAGTATAGTCGGTGTTAGAAACATGCATTGCAATTGAATTAAGAAAATTGTAACAATTTTTCATTTAGTCTCAAACTGAACATAATCTGGTATGACTTATTAAGTTATTTAAAGTTATTTAAAAAGTCATACAAGAATTATACATGTGCTACATGTAGTTAAGGCATCGATCGGTGTGTATTATTTCAGAAGCCCTCCGTAAACTTATTTCCGTGATTTTTTTTTTAAATCCAGTTCGACCAATTGGTAGAAAACTCGACTCAGCTCAGAGAGACAAGAAGGGCGTTCTAATGAAATTTAAGAAAAAAACAACTACATGCATGGGAGCAATCTATTCAGCTACTCCTGTTTGTATCTTAATCTGTTGTGTAATTTTTATTTTATCTATGTACCAGTGATCCAGATAACATATTTGCGGAATCGTAATACATTTTCCCCCTTTTTTATGCGGAATCGTAATTAAAAAAAATATTCGAGAAATTGTGACTCATTTTTTGCGGAAAGATATTATCAATATGCGAAAACGTGGAACACCGCTTCAAAGTGAAGGATTGGTGATATCCAAAAAGAAGACCAAGGACAAAAAGAAAAAAAATATATATATAATCTCGTTTTCCTACCCATGTTCAAATGGTTGGGGTTTCTCTCTCTTTTTTGTGGCCCGAATGTAGAAAAGATTTTCGAGTTTAGACAATAGGTTTAGGTTTTTTTCCTGCTTGTCAAACTGTTTTGGAGTCCCCCCCCCCCCTCCCGCGTTAAAAATCGATTTTTAAGCAGCAAAAAGGAAGAAAAAATGACAACACGCCTTATATTAAAATTTCCTATGTACATTAACAACAGTTATTTTCTCGGGAGAATAAAAAAACACTAGGGGGCATCCCTGTACCCCTTCGATACTGCATGCTTCAGATCGTAGTATTTCCCGGTTTAATATCAAGGCTAGACCGTGACTGTGACTTCCTGTTCTATTCCTTATTTGGGGGGAGAGGGTAATCTATGTTCAATTTGGAAGACCAATTATAGAATCTGTGCTGTGTGAGTCAATAACCTCTAAAGCATAATCCCCTTTCAATTATTAAATGGATACATTATAAATGATATGTTTTAAAACCTATACTCGCTGTAAAGGTCCCTGGTACAGAGCGAGGACAATCTCCCAGCCTGAAAAAACACGATTCTCAATTTTGAAAGTTCTTGAAAATTTACATTTTTCAAAAAAAAAATGTATTGTCAATATCATCTTTTACACATTAGCTTCCTTCATTTTACTGAATAATTTATTGATAAATAATTTATTTTTCGCCACGAAGTCTTCTTGTCATTGATGTGTTTCAGTGTGATTAAAATAAAAGAGGTTGTTGAAGCGTATTTTTTTCTATAATGTTCGATTTTCAAATGGAATGGGCTCAGACTCCATTTTTTAAAACTTTAAGTTAATTTTACATTTACTTTTCGGTCATTTAAAGGTTAATGTAGAAAGGGAACTTGTCCCATTCATTTTCAAAAATAATTTTGTGTGGCTCCAAAAAACCAGTTTTCCACCAAAATATGCTTTACTTACAACTTTAAAACAAATCATCAACCAATGCCATTTAATAAAATAAATGAATCAAATATGTTGAAAATGCCATTCCTGAAAACTTTATTTTAGAAAAATATAACTTTTCCATGAACTTTAAAGATTGAGAAATTTATTATCTCAGAGCGGGTGATTGTCCCCGCCTTATACGCCCCGTTTCTTTTAAGATGTCTTTTAGGTTTCACAATAATGTGCATTATAAAACCACTATCGTTATTTTGATCTAACTTTACCATGATATTTTAGTAGGGATATTTCCTACAGCTGATTGATTGATTGTGTGTATTTTTGTCCCATTCGAGAATTTCCTACAGTTGAAGTCAAGCTTTTATCATTTAAAATTTACAGCATACCACCGACAAACATTTATATGCTTTTATATACATTGTACATCAGTTTGCATTGGTCTAGAATTCTTACCCAATTTGATCTTCCCCTTAACTCGTTCTCCCAAGCAGAATAACATGTTATATAGTTTTATCATATCTCTACTGATTTTTCCCTATAGAACATTAGATCGTTAGATGTGACTAATTCCCTAGAAATCGTAATGAATGGATTAGTCCCCGTGCGTTAGTCAAGTGAGCTAATCCCTGCTTCGAAAGCTAATTCCCGGTTATCCGTAATCCTCTAGATTTTACTTTTACATTGGTATGATATGTGAATGGACTAATCCCCGTGTGTTAGTTAGTTAGTGAGCTAATCCCTGCTATGAAATCATGCTATCTGAATCCTCTAACTCTAAATTTTAAGTTTTTATCAGTATAATAAAACAGTTAAAAGTATATCATTGCGGGAGTTAGCAAGATTTCAGTTCCTCTCGACCAGGACTATTTCCCTCGGCTTCGCCTCGGGAAATAGTCTTGGCCTTGGGGAACTGGAATCTTGCTAACTCCCTCAGTGGTATATTTTAACTGTATAAGTATCCACCATTCTGGTCATGAAAAGCATTTCTAGATATTTAATACTGCAAAAGTTATGTAGTTTTATTCTGCAATCTAACGAAAAAATAAACATATACAAAGAAAATTAAATTTCTGTTTATTTCAAAAATAAAAATCATCACAAATTGTGCTCATTCAAAATTCAGTCAAAATATGATCTATTCATGTAGCTTACATTACATTAGAAATTCAAACACATGCAAGTTTATCAATAGAGGTTGATATAATATTATATTTAGCAATGTTTTAATAATTATATACTCATCATAAAAAAGTGTCTTTTTATATTATGCTCACACATAGCAAGAGGCTACTCTAACTTACACAGTAAGTCAACACTCTTCTAAACTAACTCAACATGAAAACACATAATGAGCTACACTACTTACACACATATTGAGTCACTACATGACTATTACACATAAAAATAACAATATTAGCACACAAAATGAGCTACATGTACACTACCGCAGGTAAAATTCTACATTCCCAACACAAAATGAATCCCATGCTACATGTACAACAAACAAATCAAAATAACAATACAAAATATGTATTACAAATACATGTAACAATATTAAAACTTACAATGAGCCATACCAGTAACACACATAAAATTATACATTCCCAACAAATGAGTCACCATACTACATGTACAACTCACATAACAAATAACAAAAGTACCACACATAATAAGCTACACTACTTACACACATGTCGAGTCACTACAGAACTAACACACATGTCAAGTAACTACACTACTTACACACATGTCAAGACACTACACTACTTACACACATGTTGAGTCACTACACTACTGATATATACCTTACAAATAACAATTTTAAATCACACGATGAGCAATACAAGTAACACACATAAAATTATACATTCCCAACACACGAGTCACCATACTACATGTACGACTCACATAACAAATAACAAAATTACCACACATAATAAGCTACACTACTTACACACATGTCGAGTCACTACAGAACTAACACACATGTCAAGTAACTACACTACTTACACACATGTCAAGACACTACACTACTTACACACATGTTGAGTCACTACACTACTGATATATACCTTACAAATAACAATTTTAAATCACACGATGAGCAATACAAGTAACACACATAAAATTATACATTCCCAACACACGAGTCACCATACTACATGTACGACTCACATAACAAATAACAAAATTACCACACATAATAAGCTACACTACTAACACACATGTTGATTCACTACACTACTAACACACATGTCGAGTCACTACACTACTTACACACATGTCCAGTCACTACACTTCTAATATATAACTTACAAATAACAGTTTTAAATCGCACGATGAGTTATACAAGTAACACATTTAAAATTATACAATCCCGACACACCAGTCACCATACTACATGTACAACTCACATAACAAATAACAAAATTACCACACATCATAAGCTACACTCATAAAACACATGCCGAGTCACTACACTACTTACACACATGTTGAGTCACTACACTACTTACACACATATCGAGTCACTACACTTCTAATATATACCTTACAAATAATAGTTTTAAATCGCGCAATGAGTTATACAAGTAACACATTTAATATTATACAATCCCGACACACCAGTCACCATACTACATGTACAACTCACATAACAAATAACAAAATTACCACACATCATAAGCTACACTCATAACACACATGTCGAGTCACTACACTACTTACACACATGTCGAGTCACTACACTACTTACACACATGTCGAGAAATTCGCTGGATTAAACGACATTCCGGATTAGACAACATTTAAAACAATTGAGTCTACTGCAGGTGACTTAAAGTTAACATTGTATAAGTCAAGTTTTTGGAGTACACAACATCCGAATAAGACAAGTTTCACTGTATATTACAAATAACAATATAAGAACACATGAGGAGCTTTACCAATAACACACATAAAATCACATATTCCCCACACGTAATGAGTCAACATACTACATGTACAACACACATAACAAATAACAAAATTACCACACATAAAAAGCTACACTACAAACACACATGTCGAGTCACTACACTATTAACACACATGTCGAGTCACTACACTTCTAATATATACATTACAAATAACAACATTAAATCACATGATGAGCTATACCAGTAACACACATAAAACAAGAAGTCTGTGAGCCAATGCTCACTGGTAATACCTCCGCTGTGATTTGAATATACACTATCATGTGTATATTCACAAGTTCAACTATGGACAGATGCATGAATAAACAGGAAGTTGATATCAGATTCATACAAAAATGAATCCCACCATATGACAATTATGCGTCAACAAAGAGTGTGCTAAAATTTCAAGCATCTGCAATGAGTTGTTGCTGAGAAAACTTTGACAAAAATTTGTTCCATATTATACAGACAGACGCACAGTTAAACAGGAAGTTGACATCAAATTCAGAAATGAATCCCATCATATGGCATGCCTAAACAAAGAGTGTGTAAACTTTCATGCATCTGCAATAAGTAGTTGATGAGAAACTGCAACAAATATTTGTTATATATGGTATAGACAGACACACAGATAAACAGGAAGTCGACATCAGACTTGTACAAAAATAAATCCCACGATATGGCATGCCAAAATAAAGAATGTGCTAAAATTTCAAGCATCTGCTCTGAGTAATTGCTGAAAAAACTGCGAAAAAAAATTCGTTATGTATGGTACGGACAGACGCACAGATAAAAAGGAAGTTGGCATCAAATTCATACAAAAATGAATCCCACCATATGACATGCCTCAGCAATGAGTGTGCTAAAATTTCAAGCAATAAGTAGTGCTTAGAAAACTGCGACGAAAATGTGTTATGTGTGGTATGGACAGACACATGGATAAACAGGAAGTTGACATCAGATTTGTATGAAAATGATTCCCACCAAGCCTAAACAAAGAGTATGCTAAAATTTCAAGCATCTGCAATGAGTAGTTGCTGAGAAAACTGTGACCAAAAATTTGTTATGGACAGTCAGACAGACACACACACAGCTAGACAGACAAGGGTAAAACAGTATCTTTTGGAGCAAGAATATAATAATACATTCCCAACACATGAGTCACCATACTACATGTACAACACACATAACAAATAACAAAATTACCACACATAATAAGCTACACTACTAACACACATGTCGAGTCACTACACTACTAACACACATGTCGAGTCACTACACTACTAACACACATGTCGAGTCACTACACTAATGAAATATACATTACAAAAAAAATTATTAAAACACACAATGAGCTATACCAGTAACACACATCAAATTAAAATATACTTTCCCAACACATGAGTTGCCATACTACATATACAACAACCATAACAAATAACAAAAATACCACATATAATAAGCTACACTTCAAACACACATGTCGAGTCACTACACTACTAACACACATGTCATGTCACTACACACTAACATACTTGTGGAGTCACTACAATACTAATATATACACTACATATAACTATATTAAAACACACACAATGAGTTATACAAGTAACACACATAAAATTATACATTCCCAACACATGAGTCACCATACTACATGTACAACTCACATAACAAATAACAAAATTACCACACATAATAAGCTACACTACTAACACACATGTCGAGTCACTACACTACTAACACACATGTCGAGTCACTTTACTACTAATATATACATTACAAATAACCATTTTAAATCACACGATGAGGCATATCAGTAACATACATAAAATTATACATTCCTAACACACGAGTCACCATACTACATACGTACACAAAATAACCACACATCATAAGCTACACTCATAACACACATGTCGAGTCACTACACTACTTACACACATGTCGAGTCACTACACTACTAATATATATTACAAAAAACAATATTTACACACATTATGAGTTATACCAGTAACACACATAAAATTATACATTAATTCCCAACACATGAGTCACCATACTATATGTACTATCATACATGTAAAACTAATAACAAAATTACCACACATAACGAGCTATACTACTAACACACATTTCAAGTCACTACACTACCATTCATATAATCTTATATATAAATGAGGTCATATAAGGAGTCAATACATTTACAATAGAGTCAACATGCTCCTAAAACACACTTATATTAGGTCGTTATAGCACTTGTCACATGTACTAGCACATGAATCACTATTATGACAAAAGAATTCTTTAGATGTACATGTAGTTGTTATTTAATCTTTGTCTAGCTGTTATGATATTTTAACAGCAAATTTTATACTCTTTCCTGCAAATTCAAAGATTGTTCTGCTTTCTGGAGGGGCATTCAAACACTTCAATTGACCATGTTTAAGTCATACTGACTTATTCCACTCCACATTGGCACTCTATGGCTGTTTTTCTTTTGTCCACACATCTTACAAATGGAACTGAAATACATAATTATATAATAGAACCATTAAAGCTTTTACATAAAAATGAAATAAAAATATATCAGTGATCAAGTTTCCAATCTTAATTAATACACAACAACACTTCTTTAAAAGCAAAAGGACAAGAATAAATTTTAAAATTAAAATTCCTAAAACAGCTAGTTAACATTTTGTGTATTTGATTTGTATTAAATGATTATCCTTTAGAACTTGTTAGCCTTTTGAATTACTGTAAATGTATAATATTTAGCGTGTACGATATTTGGCAGAAGTTGATTACTGAGCAAGTTAGCGGAGATTTGATTTAGAGCATTTGTTAATGTTCTTCTTTATGTGTATTTGTGCAAGACATTTAGCGTTGTACTTGAATTAGCGGACATTGCTTTCCAACAAAGGCACTAAAAAGAATACACAGCGAAAAGTATATTCACAACTTAACAAACACTTTCTGAAATTTTGGGTTATCCTTTTCTTTTGTCCTTGCCTTTGGTTTCCTATCAAGCTTTCCAGTTTAAAGTGCCAAACTTTAATCTCATCTTGTTCTATAATTTACATATCAAAAGGTTGGAATCTTTATAGTTAGGACTATATAAGTACTCACAACAGAATACATGCATCTAGACAAATAAGGATTTTTTCAAAATGAAAACATGTATCCAAGCAAGTCACTTAAAAGAATATTATAAATGAAAACATTCAACAAGCTACACAAATAAGATTCATTTAGCTTTTTCTGTATATTTATCTGTCTCTCATTAGTAACATATATCAATAAATGGAGTAAAATGAAAGACCTAATTTTAATTACACTAAAAGTCTACCAAGTAACAGTAATATGTAATAATTAGTTTTACATGTTTCATAATGTGCATAAGGAGATGGGTGAACAAGGCATGCAAAAAGCCTATAGCTTCAAATGTATAAAAGTCATATTCAAATACTGAGTTTAGTATTTAGAGTAAAGTTCTTCTTATTGAAAGGTATAACATTATATTACAAACAAAACTTTTCTGTGGAAAATTCTTTAAGCAAAAATCATTCTATGATAAAAAAAAAAGTGGTATTCTAGGGGCTGAAACCCAAGCAATGAAATTAAATCCTGAATATCAGTTTTTTTTCTAAGAGACTAACATGCTAACCACTAAACTACATACATGTAGCTCATGACAAAAATGGGCATTTACATATGTAAATCACGTTTAAAAATGTGGCTCTTGACTAAATGGATTTCAAATATATTTCTGAAAGATATGCAGGGTTTGACACTAAGGCACGTCCGACTGACCCAGTCTAGTAAATGCATGGTCCGTCATGTTAAATGTTCAATAACTTGCCCGACTGGTTGTGTGGATGAAATAAATGTTAACTCTCATTTCAGTCTTTCAAATAAATGCTCTGACTTAAAACTTTTTAAAGAAATTTTCTTAATTTTCAGATTGCAAACACAGCCATTGCTCTGAAAAAGAAAACTTTCCTGCATGACACAATTGCTATTTTTTTTTAGACCGGCTGTAATAGACAAGTCACAATCGAAACCTCAGCTTTGTTCAGTATCATTTGGTATAAATATTCATTGAATATTATAGTTTTTAATTTATTTACATGTATATTTACGGTAATAATTTTATTTAAGTTCCTTGAATTAATGTTCTTTAAAGCTTATAACATTCGCATGTTCACTCATTGGGCTGCTACCTATGGGCTCAACAGTCTGTCAAAATGTATACATGAACACATGCGAGAGATACACTGTAGTATGGTTTCAAAACTTTTTTCCCATTATAATAGGAGGTTATAAATAGAAAATTTTCAAATTTGGTCAGCGCTAGTGAATTTATGGTCAGAGCTAGTAAAAATTATGGGAAGTAGCACGACTGATCTAGTACTCATAAAAGTTAATGTCAAACCATGATATGAATGTTGTTGTGACTAGTGGTGTTCCAATCATCGATTATAATCGAAAATCAGTCAATTGCTGGCATAATCCAAGCACTCGATTACAAATTTTTTATTCTGATTAATCGGGTTATTTATTTTATTTTAAAAGCGTAATAGTTTTTAAGCCAAATATTCCAGCCGCAACTTTTCTATTAACTTATATGCATATCGTAATGGCACAGACAAAGAGACATTGTATTCATACCCAGGTAACAACGCTCATTCCTGGGTATGGACGTACTTTGGATTCTACAAAATGAGCGTAGAACCAGCTTGACTAGATAGAATATTCTGTCGTTAAAATGATATTGTCCTAAGGACTAGGGGTTGTTCTGAGACACAGTTATTCCAACTACAGCTGGACCACCACAGAAAGTAGTTATTCAACCATTCTTACCATTTAATAAACTAAAATTGACAGACTTTGTAAATGTCCGATTATAATTGATAGTTAGTTAGTTACAGTAGCCTGATCATCGATTATGAAATTCTTACCAATTCCCATCACTAGTTGTGACATAAAAGTCTATTTTTAGAAGAGTTGGTCATTTCACCATGTTTTTGTCAAACGAAATAAGAAAAGTTTTAAATATGCTTCGAGTATAATCTTACCAAAATATGGAGTGAAGACCTACTCATATTTAAAAAGTATGATATAGGAGGAAAAAATGACCATTTTTGCCCTCTTTTGGTGTGTATCTGCTATTTCATAGATTAATAATATTAATCGTTATAAGATTGCAAAGATTTTACATAAGGTATACAATAATGTTACATGAAGTATCAAAGAAAATTTTGACATGATTAAGATTTAACTTTTTACATCTTTTTTTGTCACACAATAGGCATTTACTTGCCTTGTTTGCCCATCATCTTTATCAGTAGATAAGGTTTATGATTCAGACGGCATCTGATAATGCAGCAATAAAATGTAAAATGATAGAAATAACTGCACTATGCTCACTTTTTTCCTCCCAGAGCTCTTCTTTTCATCTTCAATTTCTTCCTCTTCATTTCCTCAACTTTTTCTTCTATTGCAAGTTCTGTAAAAAAAAAAATCCAATTCGATAAACTACTAAACTGACAAAAACTCAATTTGTCAAGTTTCGGATTTTACCAGATTCATGAAAAATCTTGGCATACTGAACCTTTTTAGTGATTTATCTGAGAAAAGAGTGGTTAGTAACTTATTCGTTTTCTGTACCTGCTTGACTTCGACAGAAACGTTTTGGTACTAGAATGTGAAATACATACTTTTGTTATTACCTAAAATATTTCCATGACCTCAAATTCACCTATATTTCTTGCTGCTATTAAAGCCTGGTCAAGAAATAACGTTTCCCCTATAACAGGCATCAATTAACAAGGTTATGATTCAAAGTTTCAAAGTGTGCAGCTTGATTCACACAAAAGAAAAAAAAACATGACTGAACAGATTTACAAGTACTTGCAAAGACTAGAAATGTGTCTTGATCGACATTTTCAGCCTAAGGTAAAGTCAGGGCATAGTCATGTAACATGTAACATTTTTCATGATGAATTACCTATATACAGTCCAATCTCATTATCTTAAACTAGATGACACAAAGTAAAAAAAAAAATAAAGATGTTCCTGGGTTCCAGTAAAGAGTACTCAAATACCACTTAATCATACAGTGAAACCTGTGTAATCCGACATGCACTGGGAGACAAATTTTTTGTCGGAATAGATAGGGCGTCGTATTGATCAGTGTAAAAAAACATAGAAAAAAGTAAAATGGGAATGAAATTTAACCTTGGAATTTACAGTGTGACAGATTGCACAGGCGTCAGATTAGACAGTTTTCACTGTACAATCATATAATTATGGAGATAACAAAGCTCAAGAGTCCATAGAAAAAATACAAATCAGGAGCAAACACGGACCACTAAAAACATCAGAGGTGGGATCAGGTGCAATATAGGAGTAAACATCCTCTGCCAATCATTCACATTTGATGTGTGCTCCTTGTCATGATCGGGAAAACGGAAAAGTCTGTAGACAATTCAATGTGTAAACAGACAATTCAATGTGTAAATGATGGCCAAACAATTAGTATTAAAAACATCAGTCCGCATTCGACTTACATGTAATGAAAGATTGTTTTTGCTGACAAGGTCATTGTATCGACCATAGCTAATTACACACATGCAAGTCACTACATCCAGTCAAAGTTGATGTTTTGATATTTTTTCTCAAAATATTTATGAAAGAATAAGATAAGTACATGGTAATTTTGTTGACTTGAAGAAATACATTGATGGGGAAGGGGGGGGGGTACTGTGATAATAATTACCTAGTCCTTTTTCATTCTGCCTTTTTCTTTATTTCTTTCCCTTTCTCTTCCGTTCCACCCTCTGGCTCATTATCTTCCATCACTTCATCCCTCTCAGAAATGGTTTCCAGTACAGATAAAGTGGTTGATGAATGACTTACTCAAAATTATGGACCCATGATATAGATGTTGTAATAATGTTACATGACACACACTGCAAGTCACTGTGCCCTGTAAAAATTGTTAACTTCTTCATTTATATTTAAGGATCAAGAACTAAATAAGAATTCATTCTTAAGTTTTACAAAAAAACTATATAAATCAGGATTTGAGAGGGCTTTGTAAAAATACTGTGAGATACATAATGTAATAACCTTGTCCTTTCTTCACCTTGTCCTCCTTGTTCTTCAGCTTTTTCTCCACTTCCTCATCTTCCTTCATTAAATCTTCCCTAGTAGCTGCTTCTAGTAGAAATAAATACCAATAAAATAAATTAAAAAAATCTTGACTCAAGAAACAGTAATGGTTACACATATTATAAAAAAAGAACATTCTTAGAATATTTGTGAAGAACTAAATAAGTATTTTAGCCAATTAAAGTAAAAGACATTCCTATCGAATAGAAAACAAGAAGTCTGTGATCGAGCCAATGCTCACTAGTAATTATAATTCCCGCACTGATTTGAATTTGGTACGGACAAGCACAGGGGTAAACAGGAAGTTGACGTCAAATTCATACAAAAATGAATCCCACCATATGGCATGCCTAAACAATTTAAAAGTGTGCTAAACTTTCAAGCATCATCCTTAACAGTTGTTGAGAAAACTGTGATGGAAATTTAGTACGGACAGATGGAGGGATAAACAGGAAGTTAACATGGGATTCCTACAAAAATACATCCTACCATATGGCATGCCTAAACAGAGAGCGTGCTAAAATATTAAGCACCTTCGATGAGTAGTTGCTGAGAAAAGTGCAACAGAAATTTGGTAAGGACATGGATATAATAAATATGACTAATTTAAATCATGTTTCTGTCATTCCATGTAAACTTTGATCCTCTTCTGTGGCCCTACCCTACCCCTAGGGTCCATGAATTGAAGAAACTTGAATCTACACTACTGGTATTTCAGGAAGCTTTCAAATACATGCAAGTTTCTCAATTAATGCAAAATTGGTTATTTTCACTGGTTTAAATTTTCTTGATTTGAGGGGATTTAATTTGTGGTTGAAAAAAAAAACATATGACACCATATCATAAAATTTCGATATTTGGTTTCACTACAATGTATACTAGTAGCTTAACACTGGAGGTTTTTTTTATATTTTGCCTACCATGAAATGAGACCTTGATTTTTAAGGTTTCATTTAAAACACATGCATCTTTCACTTATAGAGTCACAGCTTAGTAACCGAACAATCTCATTACCTATTTCAAACATCTTGGATTGACAAGGTGCTAGAAACAAGAATTGAACAGGGACCTAATAATTATAATGCGAGTACCGACAACAACTACCGTCTAGGCTACTGTGATTTGTCAGTTTCAGGAATTAAGATAAGGGATATCAATAATGAACACTTAAGTAATTATTGCAAAATATAAAGTCTAAACATTTCGGAAAGACTATGAATTTTAAATTAATTCTACTGATTTAGTTAAAAGTTTTTGTTAGAGACTGATAAAGGAGACTTAAATTTTCAATTCAACTTTCCAGCATCATGTTTTATACAGTGTAAGCATGGCCTGACTAAATATATGCCTGAGATATTTTAATGTCAGGGTTCAACACTAATGTTAGTCCGTTAGTCTGATCAGACTAATACATTTTCATTTGGACTAATAAAATCTGTCGCTAGTAAGTCCCAACAGACCAATAAAAATTTCTGGAAAACAAAATGAATAAATTACGATTTTCAACAACATTTACTAGAAAACCCTGCATGTATTTTTAGCTTTCTAGCATCTTAGCAGGTAGTAAGGTAATTCTGAGTCAAGTTGGCACTTAATTTTACGACTGACTGATGTGAAATTAAACATTTTAGTGATTATGATTTAGTCCTGTACAAACAATTAAGGTGGATTCCGCCCAGAATTTCGTTGGACACCAAGGGTATTCCACCGAATCCACAAATTCCAGGCTCTCAGAGATTCCGCCTAAATTTAACAGATTCCAGTCATCAAATTCTAGGCTGAATTTAGTTCAGTGGGAAAATAGCTGGAAATTACAAAAAGAAATATTTTGGACAGTTTAAATGGAATCTATATATGTTATTTCAATTCTAGGTGGAATTTCAATTTCCATGCAGGCAGAATGTCAATTTCCAGGCGGAACTAATTACATTTTCGCCTCAAGCTAGTCTCCGCTTGGTTAACGCTTGGTTTCTGCTTATATTGCTTTAACATTTATCATGTTTATAGTAAGTTTTACGCCTGGAATTTTACTGAGAATTCTGTCTTGATTATGCCTTTTTCCAGGTGGAACATTTTGTACAGGGTATGATACATAAAGATGTCAAACGTTTTGAGTATAATGAACGAGATCAGGAATATGTTCATACTTCCTGCATGATCACGAGATTTTAAACAAGAGGCCCAGGGGCCACATCGCTCACCTGAGCACTATGGCTAGGAAAAAGCAGAATTCAGTTCAGTCTTGAAAGGTTGAAAAGTTTAAATAAAAAAGTGGTTGGGGGGGGGTGTCATGAATTGAACAAATTTGAATCTAAATTATCTGAGGATGCTTCAATTTAAATATGACCAAACATGACTTTGCTGTTCTTGAGTAGAAGATTTTTAAAGATTTAACCTATGTATTCCTATGTAAAACTTTGATCGCCCATTGTGGCCCCACCCGACCCCCGGGGGTCATGATTTGAACAAACTTGAATCTACACTATCTGAGGAGGCTACCATATAAATATGACCAATCATGGCTTTGCTGTTCTTGAGAGAAAATTTTTAAAGATTATTCCTATATATTCCTATGTAAAACTTTGATCGCCCATTGTGGCCCCACCCGACCCCCAGGGGTCATGATTTGAACAAACTTGAATCTACACTACCTGAGGATGCTTCCACATAAGTTTCATATTTTCAAGCACAGTGGTTCTTGAGAAGAAGATTTTTTAATGATGCCATTAATTTTTCACAAATTCTTAATTATCTCCCCTTGGAAGAAGGCGTGGCCCTTCATTTGAACAAACTTGAATCCCCATTACCCAAGGATACTTTGTGCCAAGTTTGGTTGAAATTGGCCCAGTGGTTCTTGAGAAGAAGATGAAAATGTGAAAAGTTTACAACAACAACGACAATGACAACAACAACGACAGACAACGGACAAATTCTGATCAGAAAAGCTCACTTGAGCCTTTGGCTCAGGTGAGCTAAAAATCTTTGGAATGAAACACTTCATGTACTTTCAAAAAACTATAAAAAGTACATTGTAATCAGTCTTCGACAAATCCCGGGAGTCCGAAGCCCAGGACCTGGTAAAATTGTAAGGGGGCATGTGGAAATTGCATACTTACAAGCCCAAAGGGCATGTGAATTCTGAGTCCTAAGCCTCCGTATTATCAAATTAAGTAATACCAATAACATTAAATGTACTTAAAAGTCTGATTTTTCATCTGAAGTGGAGCACCAAATAAAATTTTAACGATAGTTTATTCTACCACGATTTCCAGGGAACTCTTTTGCAAAAGAAACACAAAAAGTGTACAGGTTGAAAACAATATTAATGGCTAGACAATAGATCGATAGAAATGGATTTCGGATCATTTCCTTGCCATGAAAAGGCAAATAAGAATAAAATTACTTGATAAAATTCTGGGCATGTGAATACTTGCTCGGGCTAGCGTAATAAGTGGTTAAACCTGCCCGAAGGGCATGTACTGAAAAAAAGATTTGGCAAAGACTGCATTGTAATGTTTATTTTTAGATAAATCATTACAAAACACTGATCTTTCCTTTTTTGACGGACTCATGTGAAGTAGTAAAAGAAGGACATGTTTGTTGAAACACCCTGTATTAAAGGGATTTCAACGCTTATGTACATGATGTATTTGTTTAATCATTCATCCCACCCCAAAACAAAAAAAAGAAGCTTTTTAAAACAATTCTACTTACGCATTAGAAGTACTGCCAGATTCAAAATATAATTAAATGGGTTTGTGTTCACTGGCCAATAGTTTTAAACACCATCTGCAGGAACCTTGAAGTTTTCCTGTATCACCATGAACCTAAAAAAATCGATGTTATACTTCAGTATCACAAAACATCCATCCTAAAACATTCACAGACAGACATTACACACATACAAACGTTCCACGTTCCATTTATGTTCATTATTTGAAAATAATCATAAATTGTGAATTTGCTTCATCTTGCACTGATTTAAGTCCCAACATTGTTTAGTTAAATAAATAATACAGTTAAAAAGCATGTTTTACTGACCATGCTGACAAATAATACATTAGACAAAATTAATACATGTATCGATCATGCTATCAATAAAATATGAAAAATGTTAGTGTGCATGTTTACACACACTTGAATAAGTTGACTGACTGCTTCCAAATGTGACAGGATTTGGTTACACGGTACCTATGTAATTAGAAAATTACACGGCACCAATGTGACAGGATTTGGTTTTACCTTCAGTCTTAGGTACCACTCACGGCACCAATGTAACCGTATTTGATCGTATTAAAGTACTTCTTTTATTTCTCAAATTAACTCGTCAAATAACACACATTTTCTTTATGAATAATGGTACTTCGCGTTTTATACCAACTTCTTATTAACCAATTAATAAACCTTTTGTATCTCAAATAGTCACGAAAGTGACTTACTAACCCAAGAATTTTTATAACAAGAGTTTGCAAATTAACAAGTATTTATTATGGCAACAATTGTGTTTAATTAACAGCACAAAAATATTTACATTTATATATTTACAACGAAAACTGATGTACTAACGACCTTCCTATATACTTATGGGCCTCAATAAAAAATATTGCCTACCTAACAGATGTACGAAGTCCAGAGCCCGTTCTACCCAATGCTAAGTCCGAAGAAAAGTGACCCACCCCTGCACGAAAAATCTACTATGCCTAACTTAACAGGTTTACCAAAAATAGAAATAAGGAACTGGAAATTAACAATAAAATGGACGTATAAATAAGGAAAACAAAAAGGACAACTTAAACGAATGAACGAGACAATTCATTACCAAGAATTTTGAACGGGACAGGGACAGAGACCGGGATCCACCCCGATTATCAGAAAGTGAGCTGGCACGAACCTTTGAGAAGGTTCCAAACCAACTGAAGTATACATGAAATACTGGACTTTAAATACACCGCGATCTGAAGGTGTGTCTCTCTTATCCAATCAAAATCTACGTTCTATGTATAACCCAGACAAGGACGTTTCCCAAATCATTGTATAAAGCTAGAAAGTTTCCGAATGTATAATAAACGATCTAACCAATCCAAGTTATCGTTATTTACTAGCTCAGTAAAATCCAATCCTATCACACAAAGAATGTACATGTCCTCATTCATGTAATCCTGTTCCATGATAATAGTTTTCATTTATACCCCTTCATAAAATGACACATGCATGTCACTTACATACTGCAAGACCCTGCCGGCCTGTACATTGAGTACACTACTTTCACTTTGAACTTGAACTTGACTGAATACCGATTCCGACCTCGTTTGTGAATTTTTGTGTACATATTGAATCCTTATGTAAAAATATATTCAACTTAGCTTTGAATTAATAAATAATATAAATTGACACATTGATTGAATTTATTCGCTACATACATGTAACTGTAAACAACAGGAGGTATGAGAATTAGCTGTATGTTCATAAGGGGGGGGGGGGGGTTACTCCCATATGAAACTGTCTGGGTGGTTTAACCACAGGCACAAATTTAGCTTCCATAAACCTGTAACAGACTAGCATTTCTCCTCCTATATATGTAAAATATGTATAGAAAGCCATGCGAAAAAGTGGTCAAGGCAAGAACAGGCATGGGATAATGACTGAAATATAACATAACACAGTTTTACAAATAAACCCTTCACAGAAAGTTGTGCTAGGTTCCCTACATAAACTCATGGATTCTGAAAAACCTGTACCAGAAACCTGTGCCATTTTCCGTATCTGGAGACCCTGATTTGGGAATCCGACCATGTCAAAAAATAACCAAATATGGAGTCATGAGATCTGCATGTGCCTTAATTAATTCATCTAGATCTGGGTTAGGATCTTGGAGAATCCCCTGATGTTGCTGTAGATGCCAAATAGAGACTGAATACAAACTTTACAATGCTTTACATTATTAATTTGATTAGTTTTAGAATTTTTAAAGTTTGAAATTAATACATGTATGAGAGTGCCACATTCATTTTTATAGAACTTATCTACACTATCATTTTAACAATTTATAGTAGTTTCTTATTAAGAATCAAATGATTCAATGCACAATTCTATAGTAATTTAACTTAATTAGGCCAAATGAAAAAAATTATGTGTTTCTGGTGACATATGCTAAAAAAAATTAGGCTAGGTAAGTAGGGAATAACTTTTTTTTTACTTTACTGTTAATTTTGTTTACTTGATTGTTTGTTGTTTAATTCCCTTTCGAGAAATTTTCACTCATATGGAGATGCCACTACTTGTCGGTGGAGGGCTGCAAATTAATAGACCTATACTCCGCTCTCAGTGAGGGATCTTTTTCATGCCAGCACCTACTGCGACATAGGACCTCTGTTTATATGGTCTCATCCGAAGGACCGGTCTTCACGTCCCACAGTGGGATTCGAACCTGCAATCTAAGGATCAACTCCTTACTTCGCGACTCTAGAGCAAACACTCTAACCACTGCGTCACACAAGCAACACTTTTTATTTCGAAAGCATCAAATAATTATTCTGTACATTGTTTTTCTATCATATACATGTACATAAACATACATGTATATGAATAAACAAACATATATATATATATATATATATATATATATATATATATATATATATATATATATATATATATATATATATATATATATATATATATATATATATATATATATATATATATATATATATATATATATATATAAAGTAGGAGTACTCTTTAAGACTCTTGGATAAACAGGTTTT